GGGGGAAGCCTGCCCTAGCTAACTAATAATGATATTCACAGAACAGACAGGGAGACTCCCAAGTTCCCAAGAGGTCTCTTCAGGTTTACTCACCCCTAGCCATCTTGCTCCTTTATTGGCCGCCTGTTGGATCTGGACTCTTTTGAGGGTGACATGGTAAACAGCTCCTTCCTCTACCTCTTCACCCCAGTCCTGAATTGAGCTCTGCCAGGGAAGGGATAAAGAGAAAGAAAAAGTTTTGTTTTTGTTTTTCCTCTCGGCTAACCACAATCTATCCCAGCTGTTTCGCTGCTTACAGCAGCACTCGGGGCACAAGATGGGCTGTACAGAATAAATATTAGTACCGTCAGACCAATACAAGACACATTCGGACGGAGGGAATGCTGAGATTTTTCTTGGCCCACAGCCCTTCCCTGTGGTATCAGGATCCCCGGATTTTCCATTTAGTTTTTTCCTCAATTCGCTCACATATCTTAGTTGCCGTGGTGGTGTTTAAGGGCCAACACCCCACCCACCCCCCCTTAAGTTTTTCTCTTTTTTCCATAAAGAAACAGTGGCTTGGTCTTGATTAACCTCCCCTCCGCTACCCCCGCCCCCCCTCACACACACACATCAAATAAAAGGAAAAATAATTCACTTATCTAAAAAGTTTACACTTGCATAAGAGGCTCGGTTATTTGAGCAAACTACATTTTCAACTCAGACACAAACAAGGGTTCAAAAGGCGAAGTCCTCTGCTTGGGAAGTGGCATGCTGCAAATGTCTTTTTCTTCCCTGTGTCCAATCCAAAAAGTTAGTGGGGGTGGAAAGTTTTATTTCCGTAAAATAATCTGGCCAGCGCAGGAAAAGCAGCACATCAGCATGCCCTTTCAATCCTTGCACTCTGGGCAGCGACCCCCTGCTTCCCCGTAGACAGACCTAAGGTCTGTGTTAAAGAGCCGCTGGGAAGCGCTCCGCGGCTCGGCCACACGAACGATTCTTTTCCCTTTAAAAGTTGTCCTCTCCTGCCGGGCATCTGTCCCACGCGCTCGAAAGGCAGGGCCTGGGGGAGTAAAGTTTAAAGGCGTACAAAGCAAAGCGAGAAAGCCGTAGCGCACGAGCATGGGATCCCATGGCTCCGTCCACCCCGAGGGAATCCAAACCCCTGGCAGGGAAAGCGGGCGATTGGGTCCCCACCAGAGAAGCCTGGGGAGAAGTCAGGAACGGTCGGTCGTTACCATTTTAGCTTCCCACAGCAATCTCATGCTCAGTTTTCTCTTCGGTACGCGGACGCTGCATGATGCGCCCTGCTTCGCGGCGACCGCAGGCTCCGCTCGGCTCCCCCGCGGCGCCGCCGGCCACTGGCCTGCCCCGCCGCCGCGCACAGAGCCGCGCTGCGCTGCCGCCGCGGGCGCGGGACCGGCCACAAAGGAGCGCGGCGAGCGGGCGAGCCTGCGAGCCGGCCGGCCGGACGGGGCCCGCCAGGGCGCAGCAGACTCCTCCCCACGCCACTCCGTGATGTCAGGCTTTCCTGTTTGTGCTTGTGCGCGCTCGCTTGCTTCAATTCCATATGTCAAGTTAGCGTGAAATCAGCTCTCCAGCGCGGAAGGTGCTCTGGAGACGGCCCCGTTCAACTTGATCACGTTTCCCTGCTGCTCACCAGTGCCCAAACCGAACCCAGCGTGGCCTGGCGGGGCTCTGTGTGTGTCTCCGGCCTTTGCAAAGAAACAAAGCGGGGTGGGGAGGGCTAAAAGGATGGGAGGAGAGTTTGGGGTGGGGTGGGGGATGCCTGTTATCTGCCTATTAGCTATTGGATTGAGAATAGCTATCTCAGAGTCACCCCAGGGAGACGCCATCCATGCAGAACAGCAATAGTAGAAGCCCAGAATGTTTTCCATAAGGGCAAAAAGAAAAAGAAATGGGTACGCAGACAACGGATATTCCCCAAACAGTGTCCAGGGGCTGGACCTTGTCCTGTATCTGCACACTACCAACAGGAAGTACTCTGAACTTCTCTCTGCCCCTCATCACGATAGAGCGGGCTCACGCATCTGGGTGGGGAGGGGACAGGACAAAGGCAGGAAAGCGGTTTGCTGGGAAAGAGGGCCATCTGTGACCCTCGAAGCCCTGTGCCTCTTTATGAAGCGCCAAACAGCTCATGAGGAGAGTGGCAGAAATGGAGCTGTAGCACAGTCGTAGACGCCAATGCTGTCAGGACACAAGACGGCTACTTTTCCCCCTGGATCCAGTTTTAATCAATCAACAGCAAAGAAAAAACCTGATAATGTCATCAAACTGTACACACCAAATTTTCACGTGCCAAGTTGGATTACATTATCAGCTGGTACCGCATTCGCTGTTGATTTATAGAGACATGTCATGTTCTGTTCATGTCTTTCCTTCCTTTCTATTTTTTAAGCATTCTCCCCTCAATGAATGTAATCACTTTTAAGTTTAAAAAAAAAAAAGAAAAAACCCTCAACTGATTACCATGCTGAGGCATAGGGCAGAGTTTTAGTTAATAATAAATGTATCATGCACTGAATAGTTAGAACATCAACTCTATTCAGATGCTCCCAGGAGAACGGAATAAAGGAGGATGGCGAGAGCTCATCACGAGCCATAGAGGGATCTTTTGTCCTAAGAACCCCTTCAAGTCCTTCAGTGAGGTTCCCCTCATGCAGCCAGACACTTCTGGGCTCTTCTGACCAATGTGAGTGGTTGCTACAGTGATTTGAAACACACAGATAAGGCACACAGACAAGATTCTCCTGGGGCAGGGTGTCCCCAGGAGTGGACCACAAACCTGTGGAGGGTTGGTACGTTATTCTCACAGGCCCCAGACTCTCCCCGAAGGCTCATGCAGGGACCTCCAAAAGCCACCACATGCACCTGAGGACAGAGCAGCGACTCTCAGATGGATTTCACCTCCACTGCAACCTAACCTGGAGCTCTAGATTGGGGGATTATGAAAATATTACCTCTTCAGGGATAGCAAACCATATCTTCTTCTTCTTTTTTTTTGTCAACCACATTCCTCCCATAAAGTCTTCCTGAACATGGCAGCCTATAACTCACTAGTCCCTCTTCGATTTCAGATCTCACCTCTCCTCTCTGCCCCAGGAGGGCCCAGGTGGACCACCTGGTGTGCAATGGGAAAGGAAGAGGCTTCACAGGCAGGCACATCCAGCTTCAAATCCACAGGTTCAGTAAGGCTGAACTCCTCTTCTGTAAAAGGGATGCATACCTACCTTGTAGGTATCACTGGGTGCCCGCTTTACTGACACAACCACTGAAGACAAACGTGTGCATAAGCAAATGTGGTGAAGAGAGCTAATGGTCCCTGGCTATCAAAAGATATAGCGTCTGGGGTCTTAAAGGCTTGAAGATAAACAAGCGTCCATCCAGCTGAGAGCATCAAAGCCCACATGCAAGAAGCACACCAGCCTGTCTGACCACGAGGTGCAGAAGGGACCAGTTATCATACATCAAAGAACTAAAAATCAGATTAGTGGGTGCCCGCCTTCCTGACAGGATCACTGACGACAAAGGTGTGCATAAGCAAAGGAGGTGAAGAAAGCTGATGGGGCCTGGCTATCAAAAGATATAGCGTCTGGGGTCTTAAAGGCTTGAAGATAAACAAGCGGCCAACTAGCTCAGAATCAACAAAGCCCACGTGGAAGAAACACACCAACATGTGTGACCACGAGCTGTAGAAGGGATCGGGTGTCAGGCATCAAGGAACAAGAAATCATGTCATTGTAAAGGTGGGTGAGTACAGAGTGGAGACTCAGAGTCCATCGGTAGGCAACCGAACACCCCCCTGCTGAGGGGATGTGGGGAGGAGACAAGCTAATCAGGGTGCACGGTAGCAGCGATGAACCATATAACTTTCCTCTAGCTCTTAAATGCTTCCCCCCACCCCCAATATCATGGTCCCACTTCTGCCCTGCAAATCTGGCTAGACCAGAGGATGTACATTGATACAGATGGCAACTTGAAACACAGGGAATCCAGGACGGATGACTCCTTCAGGACCAGTGGTGAGAGGGGCGATCCCTGGAGGGTGGGGGGAATGTGGAATGGAAGTGGGTAACCAATTACAAGAATCTAGGTATGGCCTCCTCCCTGGGGGATGGACAACAGAGAAGAGGGTGGAGGGAGACGTCGGACAGTGTAACTTATGACAAAACTATAATAATTTATGAATTATGAAGGGTTCATGGGGGAGGGGGGAGTGAGGAGGGAGGGGGGAAATGGACAAATGATATTAAGGGCTAAAGTGGAAAGCAGCTGTTTTGAGATTGATGAGGGCAACAAATGTACATATGTGCTTGACATAATGGATGGATGGATGGACTGTGATGGGAATTGTAAGAGCCCAATAAAATAATTTTTAAAAAAAAGGATGATCCTTTGTGGCACTAAGGATCCTTTATTGCCTTACTTTTTTTTAAGGTTCAGAAAAGATCTACAGTTACAACATTAGGATATTGCTAGGAAGAGATGGATGCAGCTGTATGTGGTGGACACTATGATAACAGGAGGAGCCTAAGGAGTCCTGGTGGCATAGTGGTTACGCATTGCCTTGCTAACTGTAAGTTCAGTTAGTTCAAAACCACCAGCTGTTCATGGGAGAAGGATGGGACTTTCTACTCCCATGAGGTGTTACAGTCTCAGAAACCCCCAGGGGCAGCCCTACAGGGTCACTATTGGCACAAACTCAATGGCAGTGAGCGATGAATTAATAACAAAGAGTCAGGAAGGGAAAAACACAAATAAGTCTTCAGGAATTGTTGGATTACCAATTGGAATATTTCAACAAGATGATGAAGGAAGCACTCGTCTATGCCAGGAAATCTGGAAGACAGCTACTTGACCAGCTAACTGGAAAAGATCCATATTTGCTCAAACTATAGAACAATATCACTAATATCACATACAAGTAAACTTTTGCTGAAATTCATCCAACAAAGGTTGCAGCAGTACATTGACAAGGAGCTACCAGGCATTCAGGCCGGATTCAGAAGAAGATGTGGAATAAGAAATATCACTGCTGATATCAATGGATCCTGGCTGAAAACAGAGAATACTAGAAAGATGTTTATTGTGCTTAATTGATTATGCCAAGGCATTCCACTATGTGGACCACAATACACCATAAAAAACTATGGATAGCTTTGAGAAGAATAGCCAATGAGGAACGCTTCATTGTCCTCATGTGG